TTCTAAGCTTCAGCAGATTGTAAAGCCAAATGTGCGCAACCACGGTTAGATGCTAATTTTCTAGTGCGGTTTAGAAATAAAAGAGATTGATGCTTTGTAGTTTGACGTTTTGGAAAGCACCCTATGTGTGCCTTTGAAAAATAATTTTGATTTACAAATACTTATGTCGACTCCTACATGGCGACACATGAAAACGTATACAAGTTGTATGTACGTATTTTAACTTACCTTACTATTAAATAAGTACGCTAATACATATGTAATATGTACCTTACTATTAAATATGTACGCTAATATGTAATATGTACCTTACTATACATATCGCTCATTTACTAAAAGGCAGTCAAAACGAAAAAAAAAGAATTTCTCAGGAAAAGTGTTTAAAGGAAACTGAGATTGTGACAGTCTTTTAGTAAATGAGAGATGTATACATACCCCCATGGCCAAAATAATAGAAGCGCGAAATTTTGACAGTTTTTGACCATTTTTCTTGTATTTGGTTAATGTTTATTAATTTTTTATAAACTTGGACATTTCATTATTCTTTACATTGGGTTGTATGAATAAAAAGTAAGGAACTGCTTTTTCTTAAAATTCCATACCTTTTACCTCAATTTATTTGAATAAATCGAGTTGAATTTCTGAAATTTTAAGGAAAAGCAATTGCTTACTTTTTATTCATACACTAAACTTACTTAAATGGTTTCGTTGCTACAAGAGGAAATAGTGCTTTTAGATTTAGGGCAATTGTATTATGTGTACAAAAAGTACAAAACACAAAGAATTTGGTCAAGTGAAATATATATTCAAGAAAGCGGCAAGCTCATGGATTTTTCGAGCAGGCTTATCAAATTATAAAAACTAATGATGATTCTGAGTTCGGATGAGCGTAAAGGTTTTCAATTTGTTGGCTTCGCCGTTGGAAGATAAAGTTGACAAGGGGCCTTATAGAATAAAAACTAAGCAATTGCTTTTTCTTAAAATTTCCGACTTTTAATTGATTTCTTCAAATCAATTTAAGTAAAAGTTCTGAAATTAAAAAAAGAAGCAATTGCTAAGTTTTTATTTATAAGGCCCAAGAACTTCTCTTTGTGCTGGCGGGAATTCCGCAAAAAATTTCTATTATTTTGGCCATGAGTGTACATGCATAAATCATTTGGTATTAAATGAATTTTTTTATTAATGTGTCATACATACACTTGTGATCAGTTAATTAAGTCATCAACATTTTGATAAATTGTAATTGTGTAATTGTGCAATTTGATAATTTGTGCAAAAAAAGGGTAATAATGTGCAAGTTTTAAGTTGCTAAAGAATAGCGTTGATTTTTAATAATTTTTTTTGGAAAAATAATAACTATTAAATAAACAAAAGAAAAACAGCCAAAATTTATCAAAGTGGTGACTTAATTAGCTGATCACAAGTGTACATACATATGTACACCCACCAGAAAAACTCTGCGTAAAGAATTTCCAGTGTAATATAAGACTGAATGAATTATAAATCGTCGTTTAAAGTAGTCGTAAAAAATGCTTACAAACAGTGTTGCCGCGCCGTCCCAAGAAAATGTATCACCGACCAAACCAAAAATGTATCCAAATGTATCAATTTTTCTTTTTTTACGTATCCATGTCTTAGTCTGTAAGAAGACCAAACATTTTCAAGAAAAAGAAATAATTTAACCCATCCTAAGGACTTGGAATACGTGTATATATATTTTTATATTTCATAAAATCAAACATTTGTTATTTCAATTTATAAATAATATTTTTAATGCATAAGTATTTTGTAAAGTAAGTATAATAAATAGTAATTAATATGTTACATTTGTACCTGTACACTCTAAAATGTGTGTGTAAAACTACTACTGAAAACAGGAATCTGTATAAATATACATACGTATAAGATGTTCAGGATTTGATTTTGAATTTAAGATCTTTAAAATATACACATGAAATGTTTAAAGTTGCAAAAATTTTTAAACTAAAAATACATTTCCTACAAATAATAAACATTAGGGGCTTACATTTACTCTATTTT